GTTCAAAATGAAAAATTAGTTTATGATAATAGTAATAATGATAGTTCAACTAGTAAAAGAATTAAAGTAGAAGATAATAAATACTAGTTTATTTGTATTTATTTATTAAATAAAATTTATTTTATAATAATTTTATTAATTCTAATATATTAAAATTTTCTTCTGAAATTTTATCTATAGTCTCTTTTAACTCATTTATATTAAATACATCATTATTTTGATCATTTTTAATTACACGTTTCTCTTTATACTTACACTCATTATCATTGAAGTAATACAGATATTTGCATTTATATAGTTCACTTTTATATCTTGATCCTTTCCTATCTGACTCTGTGATTGCTATGCATATTCTTGTCTCTTCAATGATATCCAATACCATCTTAGTTAATCTTTCCTTTCATTCGCCCAGGTTTCGTTACTTAAAATTTTTAAAATAGTTTCAATGGTATCTGTATGTGCTGCTATCATTGCTCTGTCTGTCTTGTTGAGTATGGTTTCTCCACTACCATAGAATTGGGTTTGTTTACCCTGGGAAATATTATAATTACATGTTCTGATTCGGTTAAAAAATCTTTTATATTATCATTAGTAATCTCTGATTCATTGATTACCATCACAACATTTCTGGTACTAGGATACCGTTCAGAGATATGAACTTTGTCATTGACAATAAAAATTCCATAGCGTATTGTAAAAGAATTCTCATTTTCATCGAGAATCATACAGGATAATAACTCATCGAAATCACATAAATAATGATTTAACGTCTTGGAACCACTCTCATAATTTATTTTAGGATCATATATTTGTAGATTTTCTGTTGATCGGTATTTAATCTGAATAGGAACTAGAAATTCTTACTCTTTTTTGTTAAAAGAAAGAAACACGAACATGTTACACCCCCCATCACCTGTAAGATTCCATTTTCCAACATGTGCAACCTGGAATGGTCTGTTGATATCTGGTTCGGATTGTACATATTCATAATCTTCTTCCATCATAGTTTCAATT